AATATAAAATAAATTTATGTAATAACAAGGAAAAAATATTTTTAATTTCAAAGAAATGAATATTTTCATTTTAGAAGTAAAGCATGCCTAAGGCACTTTACGCAATATCAATACTAATACATGATTTGCTTACTTTACACTATTATTTGTTATCCAATTTAAAACTAAACAAATAAAAAATATAATTATAATTAACAAAAGAAATGTACATGTAATATAGTATATATATTTTTTGGAGGGTGAAAGATTTTACCTTTTCAATTATAGAGAAGAATAATTAGAACATAAAAAAGAATAGAAGTTACAACACATTTTGATGATATCATGAGTTTTGAGTGAATAAAAGTTGAAAGCTTAACCCATTTGGCTAACTCATCTTTACCCATGAATACTCATATTTCTATGGGTTATATATGAAATATGAGTATAAATCCATATTTTACCCATCTAAAAAGTCACTCACCCAACTCATTAAAATATAAATGGGTTAGATGGGTTACCAAAATATGGACTCATTTTATCGACACTAGACTTTACCCTATCAGTGAGTTGTATCTTCTTCTTCTTCTTCTTCTTCTTCTTCTTCTTCTTCTTCTTCTTCTTCTTCTTCTTCTTCTTCTTTAGTTGGGTGTTCCAATTATTATAACAGAGGTATCACGGTATGTGTAATAATAAAAAAAAGGGAAAAAGGACAAATATATTTCCGAACTATCGTAAATGGTATGCAAATATCCTTCGTCATACTTTTGGGACATTGGTGCCCCTGTCGTCTAAAAACTAGAGCATATATGCCCTTCACTCTAACGGAAGACTAAATAGGGACACGTGGCACAATCTTATCTGTCCATCCGATATTTAATAAATGTCGGATCAGTGGATAAGATTATGACACGTGTATGTCCATTAGTATAAAGGGTATGTATGCTCTAGTTTTTGGATGGCAGGTGCACCAATGTCCCAAAAGTATGACGAAGGATATCTGCATACCATTTACGATAGTTCGGGGGTATATTTGTCCTTTTTCCCTAAAAAAAAGTGAAGTTATATGTACTTACTTTTACCAAATCAAATTCTTAGTAAAGAATCGAGTGGGCTGAACAAACTCCGATACCCTTTAATTGGTTTCATATCAAAACTATGATATAGTAGAAGTTAATCGTTTTGAGTGAGTTGTATATTAAAAGACTCAAAACATAGAGAAAATTTTATATCTATAATTTGGGATGGTTTAGAGGTGATTCAAGTTGATCGAGATTGAATAGTCAATACATACTTCATGTATAATTAAACTATATTCAGTTTTTTGGATTGTATCATAATGTATAGCTCATGTATAAGTAAGTTATATTGTATAGTCAGTGTATACGTTCTATGACTTTTAGTCAACTATATTGTATAATCCGTGTATATTTTCTATGACTTTGGCAAGATAAATCATATAGTCAACATACATTTTCTATGATTTTTGAGTTATAACTTTTTTATGTAATTTAAATTATTATAACAAAAATAGGAGTGCACAAATCAAAATATATATAAATATAAAAGGGAAAATCTTTTTTGCCAGAAAATTTGGCCAGAATGATATTTTATCTATGTTATTTTACCTTTTAAAACATTTTTACCCTTTTAACTTTAATACCTTTTAACTAAAAAATGGAAAAAAGATTCCTTTATTTTAAAATAAAAAAAATATTATAATTTTTTAAACTTTCTGGCCAAATTTTCTGGCCATTTAGCACTTTCCAATATAAAATTACAATAGAATAGAACTAAAAGATTATTCAACATTAGTGCAGCTATTCTTTTCGAAAAGAAGGTAAGCGTCAACTTTTTTTCTTTTTTCTTGGTTTCACGGCCATTTAGATATTATTTTAGAGCCTCAGTTAATTTGAATTGTTATTGCACAAGGGGGGCTCAACGTAATTGAAGGCCTAAAGCGAAATTTCAATTTAAGGCCTAAAATATAAACAAACTTTGTATACGTAATATAAAATGTAGGTAGAAAATAAGGATAAGCTCTCAATCCTTTTTGACCATTTTAGTGTATAAAATGTTGAACTACATGGAATTTTGTATGTACTTCAAGTAGAGATAAAAGAAACTTTTTTATAAAATTTTTCCATTCGGTATCTAATATCTATATTGGAGTTTGACTATATTTGGATTCGCATTAAAAAATCTCATATTTGGGGTTAAACCGTTCTCTAACCTCTGATTAAGAATGAAAAAATACTTATCACTCCATCACAATCGTTATAGCTAGAAATAAAGAGATTGTGTGTTTACCCTAGTGGTGGCAAATAGGCGAGTTGGATAAAATTTGGGCGGGTTGAAAATGGGTCAACATAAAATGGGTAATAATTCAACCCGCTCATATTTCATATGGATAAAAATGGGTTGGGTAAATACAAGTTTACCCATAGTTACCGGGTTAATACCTCAGATGGTCACTCAACTATCCACTTTTGCCTCACAAAGTCACTCAACTTTTAATTTTCACTAAAAAGTCACCATGTGAGTGACTTTCTGAGGAAAGACTGGATAGTTGAGTGACCATCTGAGGTATTAACCCCATATTTTCATGAGTAAATAGTACTTTACTTTAGAATTAAACATGGATAAAATATTTTAGTCTTTTTTAGAGGAAAAATGTTGAAAATACTTTATTTAGTTTTTTTGTATCATCAAAGTCAGAAAAAAATTCCTATAACTTTTCAATATAAAATAAATTTATGTAATAACAAGGAAAATATATTTTTAATTTCAAAGAAATAAATATTTTCATTTTAGAAGTAAAACATGCTGAAGACACTTTACGCAATATCAATACTAATACATGATTTGCTTACTTTACACTATTATAACAAATAAAATAAAAAGTGAAGCTATCTGTACTTACTTTTACCAAATCAAACTCTTAGTAAAGAATCAAGTGGGCTGAACAAACTCCCATACCCTTTAATTTGTTTCATATCAAAACTATGATATAGTAGATGTTAATCGTTTTGAGTGAATTATATATTAAAAATTTCAAAATATCGAAAAAATTTCATATATATAATTTGAGATGGTTTAGAGGTGATTCAAGTTGATCGAGATTGAATAGTCAATACATACTTTATGTATAATTAAACTATATTCAGTTTTTTGGATTGTATCATAATGTAAAGTCAATGTATAGCTCATGTATAAGTAAGTTATATTGTATAGTCAGTGTCTACGTTCTATGGCTTTTAGCCAGCTATATTATATAATCAATGTATATTTTCTATCACTTTTGGCAAGATAAATCATATAGTCAACGTATATTTTCTATGATTTTTGAGTTATAACTATTTTATGTAATTTAAATTATTTATCACAAAAATAGGAGTGCACAAATCAAAATATATATAAATATTAAATTACAATAGAATAGAATTAAAAGATTATTCAACATTAGTGCAGCTATTCTTTTCGAACTTTTTTCTTGGTTTCACGGTCTTTGATATTATTTTAGAGCCTCAATTAATTTGAATTGTTATTGCACAGGGGCGGCTCAATGTAATTGAAGGCTTAGATCAAAATTTTAATTTGAGGCCTAAAATAGAAATAAACTTCGTATATGTATTTATTCAAAATTTATTTTGCTTACACTATTTAGATGAAAATTATTACTCCATTCGTCCCATTTTATGTGATTTAGTTTGACTCGGCACGGAGTTTGAGAAAGAAAAGAAGACTTTTAAAATTTGTGGTCCACAATGAATTATAGGAATTTGTATGGCTGTAAATCATTTCATTAAAAGTAAAATAGACATTTTATAGTTAAATTGTTACTTAATATAGAAATGTGTCATTCTTTTTGGGACTGACTAAAAAGGAAAGTAAGTCACATAAATTGGGACAGAGGGAATAGTATTTAATGTTGTTTATCAGTTATTGATTTTAGGTAAGAATTTATCTACTCAATATTGAAAAACATCCTTTCAGTGAGGTAATTATTATATGAATTGTTAACATAATTCTATAAGTAAAGTTGACAAATATTAAATAAAGATAAGAGTTAGAACCATAGAATCTGATCCAGGAAGATGATGACTTGAATTACCCCATTTCTATATGTTTGTTGTAATGCTTGAAACGAAATAAAAAAGAATTTGTAATTCTCTTTGTTCAACACTCTTCACTGTTAATTCTTATTTTTAACAAAGGACAACATATGTTAAACTGAGTAAAATAATCTTTTTTTTTAAATATACTTTTTATCATAAATAATCAACTTTTTCTATAAAAGTTTTAACACATAATTTATTTTTGATAAAAATTTGGGACCCTCAAAATTTGGGGGCTAAGGCATAAGCCTTATTTTACACAGGCAAGAGTCGGCCCTGTTATTGCATAAAATTTATTTAAGAAATAATACTTTCCAAAATGATATTTTTTATACCCAAAATTTGAATCTAAGATAGCGTTTTGCCATCGAGTTTAAATTAGATTTTGATAATCTTGATAATCTATCTCTCAAATTAAAAATTGACCATGAAATTCAACTGGATTTTGAAAATATCTTCCTTGTAAATATTTTTTCAAGTTCTAAAAAAGGGGCTTAGATTAGCTTTGAAATTTTCACTTTCAAAGCTTCAATATTTTTTCAAGCAAAATACATATCCAAACATAGTTTCACATACCAAAAGATATAAGTAACTTTCAAAACTCAAATTTTTAAATTTTAACTTTAAAATCTATGAACAAACTAAAGAGGAGGTTTGAATCAACTTATTGTAAGTACTTCTAATTTTAAGTTTTTTTCTATTATTTGTAGTGTTTGAAAAAGCTAAAAGTTGAATATAATCGACTTATACCTTTTAACTTATAAAATAATTTTAAAAAAAATCAATTCAAACATCCTCTTAATCGTCTAATTAACATCCCACCACAACTCAGATTGCTATGCGGGTGAGGGTGAAGTAAGAAACGTTACCCATAAGAAAAAATATTTGGGCAAGTAACGTTTTCAAGGTCAAGAAGTGAGTAACTTTCTTGTGTTCCCTCCTCCTTTCCCTATCCCCCATTCAATTCTTTACCTAACGCAATTCCCAATTCAATCTCCCTTTTACTTCTTCTTCTCTCTCACCATTTTCTTCTACTTGTTGTGCCCCTTTCTTTTCAGATTTTGATACTGTAAGTATAACTAACTTTATTTTTGAACAGGAAATGGATTACTCCGGCAACTGTCAAAGTTTTGTTTCCGGCGATGACTTGTTCGTTGACGAACTTCTTGACTTGTCTAGTGGTTTCCCTGACGACGAAGGAAATCAAAATGAAAATGAAAGCAAGTATTCGTCGTCGCCACAGATTAAGGAAAGTGACAAAGAAACTGTTATTATTCCTTCTGTGAAACAAGATTTTGGTTCTCTTCTTGGTAGTGAACTCAGTCTTCCTGTAAGCTTTGTCCCCCTTTTTTTTTGTGAAATAAAAACAAGTTTGTTTTATTTTGAATGAATTGAACCCTTTTTGCAGGGGGCTGATTTGGATAACCTAGAATGGTTATCTCATTTTGTGGAAGATTCATTTTCGGAGTATTCACTTACATACTCTGCTGGAAACCTACCGGAAAAAGCTCTCGAAGTTCATTCAGACGCAGAAATTCCGGTCCCAGAGAAGCCCTGTTTCACCGTTCCGTTTAGTGCCGAACGAGAGAAAAGTAGTAGCCGAATTTGGCCGCCGTCAATGTCATTTTCTTCGTCTTCCTCCACTACAGCCAACAATTTTTGGGGTCAGTTATCGGAAAATAAACCGGCGGCGAGAAAACTGAAGAAGAAGATGGAGAAACGGGTAGGAATTGGGGCAAAACAGTGCAGCCATTGTGGGGTGCAGAAGACTCCACTATGGCGGACCGGTCCATTAGGTGAGAAAACACTTTGCAATGCATGTGGGGTCCGGTTTAAATCGGGTCGGCTGTTACCAGAATACCGGCCGGCGAGTAGTCCGACGTTTTCGACCGGATTACATTCGAACAGTCACCGGAAAGTTTTGGAAATGCGGCAGAAGAAGGAAACTGAACCGGGTCCGCCGGTTCAGAGTTTTTAAGAAATTTTTATTATTATTATTTTAAAGATTAGATAATTTTATTTTTCAAGGTAGGGTTTTGAACTTCAAAGTGTTAGTGCAGAACAAATTTAAAAGAAAAAGGGAGATTATGCTTTTTATGCTTCTTTTTCTTTTTAGTTTCTTCATTGATAATTAGTATATATACGTGTCAAAAGGGGATTGGATATTTTTAAAATTTATTGGGGAATTAAAGGATAGACTGACCTACTTTGGGTTTAGAATTCAATATTGTAGGTAATTTTTTTGAATCTTTTGAGTTTAAAATTTAGTACTATTTGCCAGAAAATTAAAAAGTTTATAAAATCTTTTTTCTTTTAAAACAAAACTGATTTTTTTTTCATTTTTTAATTAAAAGATATTAAAATTAAAAGGATAAAAATGTTCAAAAAGTTAAAATAGTATGAAATATGTTATTTTACCACTCGGACCAAATTTTCTTGCCAAAAAAGATTTTTCCATTTGTATAATTTTCAAACTATACGATTTGCGGAGTAACACATACAACAATTAACTGTGTGTGTAGTTCTCCGCAGACCTAACGTAAGCAAATCCTAACAAATGTGTTAACTCTCTTTCTATTTTGGCCTAAATTCGAATAAAGCTGAAAAAAGTTGGATTTTGTTGGATTGTTGGCAGTATTCAGAGAATCGATATACTTAGGCTTTCTGGTAAAACTGGGGAAATTTATGTTACCAATATGTAAAAATGTCAGGTTAGATAGATATGATTTCGGACGCCTGTTGTCAACTAGTTTATCGTCAACCTGTCTACAACTGTGCTAATTTGATGTAATGCAACTACGGTACACCCCAAGTATCTTGAACTAATTCCTTAGAATTGGCAACAAGATTGAGAGTGAAAACTAATCAATCTCGAAAGAGCAAAAGCTCTCATCTCTAATGTATACGTACAAATTCTTGACTATCATCAATTCACTGCTGTAGTTTGTACATAGAGCAACAATTTCAGGATCAAATACAAGAATGATACAATTATTTTTGTCTGCTTTAGTGTACTAGTTTCTACCTGGTTACCATTATGGTTCAGTGGGAATTCTTTTTTTGTATCCTGCCTTCTTTGACTGAAATTTGATCAGCTAAAAAATTATACTAATATTTTAGCTACATCTTGATCATCCTACTAAAAAAATGGTTGTTCGAATTCACCTTTAAATTCATACCTTCTCAAAAGTGCAAATAGTCGCATAAAGCCCCCTTCTTGCAAAGTCCACTCTCATAAAATTTGCCAACACATTGTCATTTTGGGGGAGGTTCAGAGTATCCCCTGCCACCAAATGGCTGTCTGCACTACAATTACCTATCCCTTCCAAATCCCGAGTCCCCTACTGGAATAACCCAGTCTCTTGGACCACCAGACCTCTCCCCTGAGTATATACACTGGCTTTCAGACAATGTATTCCCGGTGAAAGGGGAATCATTCGTGTTTGAATGTCCGCATGCAGTCCCCATGCTGCTACCTTGATTAACATTTGTGAATCCCTGAACTGGTCCACCATAAGTCATGTTTCCAGGTGCTGCACGACAGTCGGTGGTTATAGCTTCCAGTTCAGTACGCTGGTTGATGACTGAAAGTGCAGTTTTCCCCGTGGTGCAGGGTGTAGGTATGTTGAACCCAGTTTCCCCCTGGGAAAAGGAAATATCAGCTGACTTTGTTTCTCCCTCACTGCTAGTAGATGAAGTCCTGCTAGACCTCTTAAAAGGATCAAAAGCTTCAGCCTGTGATGTCCTCGCTAGTTCATTTGTCAGAGAGGATTGACAAGGTAATTGCATATCTTCAGTGGAGCTCAAGGCATCATTTTTTGCAGGGTCAGGTGTGGGACTAAGCTCCTCAAAAAAGCTGAAAAAGTCACTTCTACATACAGATATCGTCTCCTCACAGAACCTCATGGCGGAGGTTGGTGAACCCATACCACTTTGAGTTTGAGATTCCATTGCATCAACTTCAGCTAATAGGTCTGACACGGATTCCTCATATAAAGTGCTGAACTCTATTGGCTCACCAAAGATTGCTCGCCAATCGGAAAAGTTTGAGATTGGATGAGATGAGGAATTATTATTGAGTTGGTTGACATCTGATGCAGGTGTGTCGACATGATCACCCACTGCTTCAGCTGGTTTCAGTTGGTTGACATCTGATGTAGGTGTGTCAACATGATCACCCACTGCTTCAGCTGGTTTCAGTTGGTTGACATCTGATGTAGGTGTGTCAACATGATCACCCACTGCTTCAGCTAGTTTCACTTGGTTGACATCTGATGTAGGTGTGTCAACATGATCACCCACTGCTTCAGCTGGTTTCAGTTGGTTGACATCTGATGTAGGTGTGTCGACATTATCACCCACTGCTTCAGCAGGTTTCAGTGCAGAATCAGAGATAAGATCAGAGTCTATAGATGGTTTCGCAGCTGGTCCACCCAATCCATTAGCTATTTCAGGAAGTTGGGCCCCATCGATCACCAGACTAGAAGCACTGCTCCAACTAGGACCTGAATCCTGAACAGGAAAACTAGAAGTTAGAGAATCTTTGTTTGCTGCAGCCTGCCCAACTGTAGCTTCTTCTTCCAATTCTGGTGTAGGACTTGGCAAATCCTGAATATTTGAAGCACAAACTGGAACAACCAAACTCAAAGAAAGTAGCTCTTCAGCAGCCTGAGCATCAACATCGTCATAGCTTGTTTTGGGGGTTGGACTTGGCAGATCCGGATAACTCGTGATACCTTTCTGTTGAAATGAATCACTTGACTTGGTAACTGAAGCAAAACTAGAACTTCTATTACTGTTTGAGGGTTCCCAGTTCTGTCCACAAGACTGCCCTAAATGCCTCTGACTGTGGGATTGCATACTATGATTGCAGCCGCTTCTACTTGAGTCCTGAACCATATGACCTGTGCTGGACTGAAAATCAACAATTTCATGGCATCTTTTCCCATGGGAAGGAGCTCCGCGCATGTTCCCATGACTGGATGACGGTTCAGGGCTGGATGGATGGGGTTTGTCAGAATAAGAATTATTCAAGTCCAAACATTGTGGCGAAGATGAGGACAGCCCATCCATCCTCGCAGTCTCAGTGTTACCATTAGAATGATTATTTGTAATACGGAGGTGCCAAGGTACCTCCTTCTCTCCACATTCTCTTCCTATTCCAGTTGCACTTCCACACCACCCAACACTACTGTTAACAGAAGTAGCACCAAGCTCCTGAGACTGGTGTGAAAACTCACCATGAACCTGAGGGGATTTATCGAACAGCCCTTTTAGTGCATTAGTTAAAAGTACCGAGTCATCATACTCACCTTTTATCCATATCCTCATATCAAGTGGGAAAAGCCCCGATTTATTCCATTTCCTCAACTGCGTCACTGAAAATGGTCCTTGTATTCTACCACTAGGGTCACGGTAATGCCAAAGCTTGTCTGTGTCACTATTGTTGGTGAATGTTGAGTTCACTGTAGAGAAGCTTGTAATTGAAGTTTCAGATGCAGACCTATCCACAACCTGACATGCAGTACCTTGATTCCCTAGTTTCTTCATAATATTTCCATGAGCCTCTCTTTTTTCACTAACTTTACATCGAGCCATGATAGATCCCTCTTTATCTGGATAAAAAAAAATAAAGATTCTACTTAGTTCACGAAGAATCAACTTTTGGAAGACTTACTAGTACAACAACCACCTCACCTTTCCTCCATGAAGACATAGGCTTGTTTTCCCTTCTACAAAATCTAGTGTATCTTGGCCCCCCATATTCAACTGCATTACATTACCATCAACAGTAAGCAAATCTTTCAAATAGCGCCCAATAAAAAAAGATCACCAATAAATTGGAAAAAGTTACTAAAAACAAAATGATGTAACCTTGTTTTTTGTCGTCAGATTCTCTAGCATCTTCTTCAGTTTCATAATTAGGATCCATCTTTGGATCAGCATGCACTTCTGGAGTTGCAAGTAGCCTCCGCTGATGTTCCTCAGGAGTCTTCAGAAGCTCTAGTTTCTCTACACATTCTCTGAGCGTGGGAATTGTCAAGGAAGTCCTCATACCATGCTCAAAGTCTTATCCAATGTTCCAATTTAAAATGATATCCATAGATATTGAAATCATATGCTCGTATCCAAAGAAGAATATTGAAATCATTTTTTACAGCGAGATCTAATAAATCTCCCAATTGATTTAGATGTTGAACTGAAAATTGTGAGTTAACAACAGCACTATGATCCAGCAGCAATTTCATGGTTCACTCTAATTCATTGTAAAAGATTCAGTTTGTGCATTTCTATAGGTTAAGTAATTTTTGAATAACACATATCATTTGTGCTAGTTATAAGAGGTGATTGCAGAAAGAAAAAGTGAATACGAGTGATCCAATTTTAACATGTGTTTAGAGTTCATAAAAAATGGTAAATACTACTAATATAAGTGAAGATCCTGACTAACAAAAATAGTCAGAACCTCATCAAAATAATTATTGAATTTTGAGAAGAACTCCTATTTATACGAAGTAAATTTATCCATCTGATTATAATAATAAGAAAGAAAAAAGTACTTGGCATTTTACTTGGAGTTAAGTTTTTTTTTTCTTTTAAGTAACTTCAACTCATTGTAAATGTAATCCAAATTAGTAATATCCCTACTTGGGACCAACCTTCTCATTGCCATTTAAATTAGTTCATGTCCCTGTTTCTGACCTACTCCTTTTTTCTTTCCCTCATGCTATAAACTAAATTATCCATTTGTTAAGGTAATCAGACAGAAACATATGGAACTGTCAAAAGAAAGTGTGGAGCAAGAGAAAAGAAGAAAAACACAAGTTCTAAAATAGAGGTTAACTGTTTCAACAGAGGAAAGGATATTCTTTCTTACGCCCTTTCTCACTTGCTCTATCACGAAGATTGTTGAGTCGCAGTATCTCTTCTTCCAAAGTCTGTTCTTTTTTTGAAAATAAGGAAGCAAAAGCCCATCACAAGACAGCCTATATAACATCTTTTTAAAAGATAGTAACAGTGACAGCATACATAAAATCTTCGAATACAAAAATATTGAAGTTCCATGAGAGTAGCTACAACAATTTACCTACGTTTGTTTACTAGTCAGAATAGTTTACATTTACCTACTTTGGAATGTAGAGCAACAAAATGTGCAGATTAGTTACCATTTAGAAACCAATACCTTTTCCTTCTTTTGGAAGCAATTTCTTTGTGATTTAGACACCACTCGATTTTGAAGCACAATAGAATTCGAGAAGGAAATATTTAAACACAATTTTAAAAGATCCAACTATACCAATTCCTCTCTGTTGCAATTGAATTCACATGACCAAGTGAAATATTTCTATCTCCCAATACTAGTTTCAAGCTTTCAATACAAAATATTACTAGCAAACTATGTGACATGGCCTCTTCCTTGCCTAAACATACTCTGCCTAACAAGATACATAGGTATTAGAACTTCATTTAGGCCCTTCAAAGCCATGCAAAAGCTTGCTAAAAATAAAATAAAATGTATTGAATTATACCCAGATGAAATGCTCATATCGAAGATCATTAAATATGATCTGAAGGAAAAGGACATCTTAAAGACTAAATCATGCTCCTCCCATCCCAATTTCTTGTGGGATGTGGCCCATTCATTATCATTCCAATAAAATTTGCATAACCATTTTACTAAAGGAAACATGTCCATCTACACATTCTGATAGAGAAAATTGTGATGAATAATGAAAAGGTGTGATCAATATTGAAAAGTAACTGACATACATCGTTGAGTTTTACTGCACGGAGTTCCATTGCTTTCTTCTGTATGTCGCCCTATGTTGAAGGATAAGCATCATTTAGTCAGTCATTGTGATATCCTAAAGAAAAACTTAAAAGTCATCAGGTTCAACACTTACTATGGTCAGCTGCTTTACAAGCCCACATTTTATAATCTGACGTAATCTTCTGCATTCATCCTGAAGATATGCCAATAAATGATTAAGAAACTATCCGAATCAATAGCAGTCACCTGCTGAAATAGCCATATACCCTATACAGGGACAACATATTAAGGTGACAGAGTAGTAGTTGAGAGTACCACTCTGTTGAAGGTATGTGTGGTAGTCACTTCAAAAAAAATAAAAAAATATTATCATATAGGAGACAATTAAAGAGAAAGGGAACAAAACTAATTGAACCCACACCTATTGTGATATCACTAAGCTTAAGTATTGGTGGTAGTCTTTTCATATGGTTCCAAACAGTATTCCTCACGAGTTAACTTTAGGAATAGAGTTAGGTCCAAGGTCCATTTTGCTTGACATATAAAAGTCAAACTCATCCCTGATACTAGACTAACCATTGTAGGGACCCAAATTATGTTATCATTACTCCAACAACTCTGAGCATACAACCAAAGGATGTTAGAGTGAACAAGTTGCATGGACTGTAATTTTTTTATACGGTCGCGGACAATCCTGATCTCTTGAGCAAACTTTTTGGGATTGAATTAGGTCCAAAGTATATTTTTCTTCACAGAACTAAGCAGAAAAAAGGTTTATGTACCATTTGTAGACATGAAAATGAAGCTATTCATTAATAAATGCAACAATTTTGCAACTCAAAGTAGTGAACAAGGAAGAGTCACTTGTATCCAATTACCTCAGAGAAATCTTGATTTGAAATAGAATCAATAGGAACAATCTCTTTCTTGTTTAAGTTTAAGACTTCAAGCAGTACATTAGCAGTCTTATCCCCAATCTTATATGGAACAAATGCCTTGCTTGTACCTGAGTTGAAGAAATTATGTGCTCTGGAAACTAGATCGAAATCTTATTTATACCATCATGAGTGGTTTAAAAAGGCTTTTAAAGAAATATCAGTACCTACGACATGGACAAGCCTGTACATATCTTGCTTCTGATTGTTACCAGATATTCTTATCCGGACAACTGAGCCAGTAACTCTGCCTTGGAACTTTTCCATATCTTCAATAAGACTCTCCATCAAATCACGGCGCAAATATATGAGATTGATGTTATGAGCATCAATTGCTGCATACTCATCTAGATTTATCTGCACTAAACTTTCTTCGGAGTGTCTACGCGATTTACGTTTCTTAGTTTTATTCATCAAGAATGAGATATCATTATTATCATCAGCCTCCACACGACTAGTAACATTTCCAACAATTCCAGCTGGTATAAATGCACTCCCCTGCGAATCCTCCTTTATCAGAAAGTGAAATTCAAGAAGCTTTAGCATTTCTATGTGGCCAGCACGATGTTTTCCAAAAAGACTTCTGAGCCTCGAATCACAAATTATTTGACTTTTCTGATGAGGATCTCGAAGTTTATTTCTCTTTATGTACTCTAGTAATAGTGCCTGGACCTCAAAATGTGATAGAGCAGAAGTATCACCATTCTTCATGTGTGCAACAAACTCCAAAAGCTCTTTGGACGCCCATTCCATGCGTCCATTCAATGATGTCCCCATGGAAGCACTTGCTTCTTCTTTCTTTAAAGAACCATTCCTCCGTAACTCTAGATCTATGGGCTGCGTTTTCTCCAACTGTGGAGTACAACCAGGACCACATAAATTTTCAGCCTCAGCAATTATTTGGATTTCAGTGATTGGAGGATCCTTGCAAGGTGGCTCCAGCAATTGTTCGGGTTTTTTCAGCTCCAGATGGTCAAAAGACTTGCCCACAATACCTTTGCCATCAAATGCAACAGGATGAAAAAAAGGTAGTCGCTGTTGCTTAGCATGTACTGTATCTGATCCTTTCCAAGGTTTTTTGGCTTGAATAAGTTCACTTTGTGTTAATGATAATTTTTCTTTTAAGTACATCCAATATACCTTGAAGAGATACTCCCAGCTACTTTTGTCATCAAAATCTACTTGAACCTGAAAAGATTTCAGGCACACAAAGATAAATACATATGGTAGACAAGTATCACAATCAAGATTTCTTCTTCTTTTTTTCCTACAGAGGAAAAGAAAATGAAAAAGTACATAGTAATACTATCTGAGAACAAAATTTTAATCAAACAATTTTTTATTTATGTAATTATTTACAAATCTGGCATGTCTGCAAAAGTTCAGTAATTAGAACTGATGATCAGATGTGTTCCTGGAGAATGTGACATGTTTTACATATTCATAGGTAAATGCATTAATTGTCAGGCGAATGTCTCTTACTCAAAATAGAAAAAATTAATGGAAGGCCAAATACCTAGGTAGCCCCTCAAACTTGGTACAAATTGTTTAAACACTCCATTACCTAGTGACCATTAAAATACCTCTACCTGGCAGAGGTGTGTCTCGTGGACACCTATGTTCACACGTGAAAACATTCACTGTTGATGTGATGGCTGAACAAATCAACAAACGTCACATGTAATATTTTCCTATATAAATGCCTCCTATAAATTATATTTTAAAAAAAAAAACCACCTACAAATATTCTATTGAACCTCAAAACAACTCTAAGCATAGGCATGAATTTTGGGGAAGGAAAAGACTATGGTACAGGAGAGAAGTTGGTTAGTTGCCAGAGAACATTTTCTGGCCATGTTTTCTAGTTGTTTGAAGGTGGCCATTCTTTGATATCCATTGGTGGTTTCTTCACTGTTTAAGCCACCAATGAACTTTGGGATGTTCCCAGAAAGTTGATTGTTCAAGGTATTAATTGTCTTGTTGGTTGGTTGTTTGCTTAACATCTTTAAAAGAGACCCAAAAAGCTTGTTTGAACAGAGGTCAAGAGATGAAATTCCATGGAAATTTGAACCCAGCAACATCAGTTTTAAACTGGTTGTGGGATATCTTTGCCTTTTGCAACTTGACATATGTGCAAAGAAATTTGATATACCATCCATGAAGAAGTTAGCTGATAGGTCTATGGTGTTAAGGGAATTAAGCATTGTAAAATTTGGAAGTGTCCCACAAAGCTTACAGTCTGTTAAGTTGACATCAGAAAGTTCTCTGTTTCTAATCCATTCTGGCACTGTTCCCAAATTGAAATTATACAAATTGTTATATGAAAAATCTATTGACAGAGTTGAAAGGAGGCTATGGTAACGGCAATAGGCAAAGGATCTAAGAGAGTATTTCTAGATAAACTAAAGTTCCGAAGATTTGGTACTCCTGCAATAGAATCTGGGATTTGGCCTATCAACTCATTAAAAAACAGTGACAGATTGGTGCTTTAACCTGCAGATTTGACTGAAAGTTCTTCCTGTAGTCTTATTGTTGTCGAGTGATAAAATAGATGTTTGAGCAAATTGCACAAGTGAATTGGAATAAGCCATGAAAGTTCTCTAGTTAAAGGGTGGATGTATGAGGTCCATGCAAAATTCAATATTATTCTGAAAAAGGAAGTAGAGAAAAACCATGATTAAGGTCTCACGCGCTCAGATTTAAGTGGAACACACCAGATCACAATTTTTTCAAATAGAGGTACCTATCTGGTCACCAGCTAAGTGTGGGTGTCTAACTGACAAATCCTGCCAAGTTTGAGGGGATATCTTGGTATTTAGACTTGATGATATCATAAAATGTCAAATTAATAATCACCAATGAGATTATGGGGCACAACATACCATCTCCTTGATCCCTTGGTCTATATTCTCAATCAGCATGATAATTTTCATGCATGTTGAGCAAAAGCCTTTGCTTCTTCGAACACAGAAGAAATCAGCATCTTTTGTACATCCTTTGCACACTGAATATGTACAAGTATAGCACATATAGTGGGAAGCCTTTTGACATACACTACAAACATGCCAACCTGAAAATAAAGGTAATTTGAGAATGTTATGTCATGCAAACCATTTGGAGGTGGTGATGTGATAATCAATAGAACATCATATGCATCTTTAATCATATTCTATTTCATTTTAACTTCAAGCAACAACTTCAAGACTTATCGCTTAAGAATCTTTTCATTTTCTATTATTAACTTAATTAATTGTTCATGAACATTGCTGACCAAAAACTCAAACATAACAATCTGGAGAAACAAATCCTTTGAAGTTCAAAAAAAATTGTATTAAAATGAAATTAAAAAAAAACACTCAGCACTACACATGTTAACCAGCAACATTCCCATGTATATTTGGTGTCTAATATATGTTTGTGACTGCACCCTGCTGTGAATATATATTCTCCAGATATCATGCACATCATCAAAGTGTCTTTGATTACACACACACATTCATAGACAATCAATGTATATGTTGTGCATGTTGAATGTACATACATATACTCACACAGAAAATAACAATGTAGGTAAGTTCCACTGCTCAACAAAGAAAATGCCTTCAATCACATTAACTATTAGTATGGCATCCTAAATAATATTTCAAAATCAGTCTTTATCCACTTCATACCTATAGATTCTTTGCAGCTTATTCTAACATTACAATGATGAAAACTAATGGTTCTATCGAGTAAGCTACACCAAGGTTTCTCTTGAGCAATCCAAAAAACAACACCATTCAATGAAATTTACAGTTTAGACATAGTTCAATTTATCATTTTCCTATGGTACCATTTACTCAGATTGCTTAAGGTTTAGTTTAATCAAATAATCCGACCCTTGTTCATTTTTTTATTTTTTGTATTTTTAAAAGGAATCTGATCCTTGTTTCTCTCTGTCATGGAGATTTAGTTTCTTTTTTTCTTTTTCCAATTTTGCATTAAGATTTTTTTTTTTTTTTGAGATTGCCCCAAAGTGAACATGTTTTCAAAATTCTTTATGAAGAGTGAAAAGATAAAGGAAAAACGGAGCAAAGAGAGTGAGATTATTGAATATAAATGGAATGGGTCCAGTTGGAGCAAAATGAATAGTGAGGATTCATTTAATCGATTCTAACTTCAACTAGCTTAGAATTGGGAGGCATAGTTGGTAACTAGGTGTTGGACTGTTGGTGTTGTTGTTGGATAAGTAAGGTTATCAGCAACAGTAAGGCAGGGCGCTGAAAGATTATGTTCAGGTCTTCACATCCCAAAAAACAATGTTCGGAAGTAGCAACCATTTCAAACATGTTACAAATTTAGAGTACAAAACATGTGAACCGATCATGATTACAACAGAAAATATACACATGTACCAGTTAGTAAGTCAACTATGGTGAACCATGTCAATATTGATCGATTTAGATGGATTGAATGGATTGGGACCTGCTCTTTCAACTTTGGAAATGCTAATTGCAGCTAAAAATTCCAATATGCTTTTGACATGATGGCTACTTGCACTGCCCTCTATTTTTATATGTGATAGGACTACAAGAGAACGAACTAGGATACTCTTCCTAGTGTTCCTCCTTCTACCCATTCCTGAATGAACTCCCAATTCTTTCTTGCAACTGCATATGTGCCTTCCTTTCTCACTCTCTCTACTGACACAGACCCCATGCTATCGGCTGCTTGGGCACTCACTGCTCTTTGTTTCCATTTCAAGTTTTCACTCAAATAATTTTATGACTTTTGTATGTAGCTATTGGCATGCACACATGTTTCCATTTTAGGTGTTCGCTAAATGTTTAGATGTGAATATATGTTTGTATATACAGAAGTGATAAATAAGTACTAATAATTGTCAAAAAAAGTATAAATAAGTACTAATCTTGATGTTGTTATGATGAGAAATAATGATTTTTGCCACAATGATTGATATGCAGTTCTTTCTGGTCAACTTATGATGATTTACGAAGCAGCAGTAAAATGAAGGATCCAGCATCTCACTTCTTAGATATCTACAAAATAGCAGCACGAGGAAGTAACTGAAGTGCTGCTTACCATTTTCATTGTGCACAACCCACCTGCCTTAAAATTTATTTGCACCTTATCTATGTGTTTTTGGTGACACTGCAGTAGCATGGACACCTTAATATGGAGAACGCTTAACTAAATGCCAGATGCACAAGTGATATGACATTATTGCCTGTAATGTGTCACTCATGGATCAAATCTACCATCAAACAGAAATCTGCATGACCTTGCCTGATACTTAAGTCCATGTTCCAAATGGACTAACTAGCAATTGCACTTCCAAGACAAAATTCATAAATGAGGTGCAATAAACAGAGATGGGAACAACAATCCAATCCCGGAGGACTAAATGAAGTAAACAGGTTCTTTAGTTAGTGTAGAAGCAAAGGTACATACCACAGTTCCATTTAGCTTTGGAGCGGAAAAATGCCTCATCCCGCTTAATACAAGCTGGATGGTATGCCTTCGGACATCCCCTTTACAGTTAAATCAATACAATCAATCAGCTACTTCTCAATCTCAAGCCATTAAGAAAACAATTTGGAATAAATTAGAAAAGCACTTCAACTTTACCATTTATGAAGAACTACTATATCAATTTTAAACTGAAAGCCAGTAAACTTGGGGACAAAACTATTCAAAATGGAAAAGGAGGCAAAAAAAATAAAAATCAATTAGAGCAAACACTGAAAAACGCCTGTTTTACTCACTTGCGATCGCATAGGACAAGAGAACCACCATCGAAACAAATAAAGCAGACATCTTCCCCTTCCTCCTCCTCTCGCTGTCTCTTTGGTTGCGGAGCTTTAACTACTGCTCCACGTGGCGGCCGTCCTCGCTTCGTCTTCTCAGCAAAGCCGATCCCGTTCTCCATCGGCGTCTTCAACTTCGCCGGAGAATTAGAATTTCCAGTAGCAACCGCGGACATCGTTCCCGGAACTCCAACCAGCTGCTTCCCTTCCATATCCTGAATTGATGTGCAGTTTTCTACTGACGATGCGGCGTCCTCGAGCAACCTTTGACTCTGAGGTTCTTCTACACAAGGGCGGCACATCTGCGGGATGGAATTATCATCGTCCATGAGAAATTGAGCTCCGAGATAGAAAGTTACGAAAACCTAGTTTGCTGAATTGGCCGGCGAGAGGAAGTGATCGGAAAAGTGATCATTGACCATGCGAAGGAAGTTGTTCGAGTACGTGGAAATTTCTGAGACGGGAAGGGAAAGAGTTAGAGAGAAAAGGGATAGGGGACGGTGGTGTTGGGCCCTGTTTGGCAGAGTCAAGTGTGTGTAAAATGTGTGTATGCGCGAGAGATAGAGAGAGGAAAAAAAAACAAATAGGAAAGTGGTGGGGACCCAGCTGAGGGCTTAACATTTGGTGAAACACGACTTGTGAATACACATGGAGATACATGACTTGTAAAAACTTGTATGAATGAATATACATGGAGATACGTGGATCCAGAATTTTCACTAACAAAATTTAAAATTTGAGATAAATTTTGAATTCTTAAACTATTAAGTTAATCTCTAATTTTGTGTTTATGAGATTCAAAATTTATACATATATATCCATCTGCTGCTAATGTGAAAATGAAGAACTTGAAGTTTATGAATTTTAAATTATTAATATATTAAATTCGGCCAAATTTGTAAATGATACTTTATTTGTGCTCCTGCACGTGAAGAATGGGCAAGGCTCCTCGAGCACAACCTGATTGTGAAAACACTGGGGGTATAAAATTGTTACTTCCTCTAATTTCGTTTATACGTATTTAAAAGTGTTTGATTATGCATTATTAATAATTATTAAAGGTGAAAATGTTCTATGGTTTTAAATTAAAATCGTATGCAAAGGTCCGTTTAATTTAAAGATATAAATCACACAAATAGAATTATTTAAGATCTATTTAAAAAATTGTATTGGTTTTAGAAAAAATGTAATATCAACTAGTAGGGTGTAATTTTAGTACTATCTTTATTTTAATTATCTTGTTAAATAATTTACAAATTCTTATTTACATTGATAATCCGTTTGTCCAGGTTTACTTATTTACTTTTACTAAATTAAAAATAGATATTCATTTTTAATTATTCAAATTGAAAAATTATGAAACAATTTATCACTTAATTACTTTTTTATCTTTATTAGTAGTATACTAACTACTAATCATAGTCATTTCTCAATGTACTTTCTAAAATATTGATTTTAATATATTAAAAAAATAAATATAGTGAATGTATTATTTATTAATTATTTCCTAAAAGATACTTCCTATGTTTCAATTTCCTAAAAACAATTTTTTTATTTCAACATTTTATGTGACATGTAATATCACAAAATAAAATGTATTTCGGTACTTCTATTTGTCTTTTTAACTTAATAGATTATTTTTTTTACTTTTATAAACTTCATATCAAATAAAATACAAAAAAATAATTGAAATAAAGAGAATATGTCAATCAAACGTGAGCAAGCAAAAATGAATGGACAGATAGAGTATAATGTGTGTTTTGGTCATAAAAACATGAAGAAGAAAAAAACCATTTTACTAGAGAAGTTAGAATTATGTTTAATTATATTATTTTTTAAATTAAAATGTATTTAAAAAACATAAAATATTATTTAATTGAAGTTGTTTTATAAAAATACAAAAAAATTAGAGTAAATTATTTTTTGAAAAAAACAAGTAAAATAAAATTTCAAATATTTCTCAAATTTTATTTGAAGTGAGAAAAAAATCTGAGGGTTGTTGTTTTGTGATGAGTGGGTTATGGAACACGTGAACAAGTTGAAACTTTTTGAGAAATGGGGTCCACTCTTGCCTCTTTTAAGTAGTGGAGGTGATAGTCACAATAGTTAATTGGGTCGGGGGCAAGTGAGTCACCCCAATTTTTATTTTTATTTTAAGTACGAAACTTGATGCAAATTATTAATTTTATCTTAGAATTATTGACAGTTTTAAAAATATTTTTCTATTTGACTAACTAAATTTAAATATATATTTATAAATTCAATGGATGTATTTAAGTTCAACTAATTAAGTAAATGAACATTTTTAAGGCAAAGATGAAACTAATAATTCGCGACTTGTGCACACAACAAAAATGGAACCTGCAAATTGGGGATAGCATTCGCAGCTCAAATTGCACAATCCAATAGCAGTGAGTTATCTCTTCTTTGATTGATGTGATTCAACATTAGTATATATATAAAAATATTAAAAATATGCCTTATATTTATAGTATATTTTTTTGCCAAAGTATTCTAATAAACTTGAACATCAAAATAGATCCGCCCCTGACAACAACTCCCTAACTCTTTCCCCCTAACTCATACTATTATGATCATGTGCAAATTTAGCCAGTCATTTGCGGTATGCGAAAACCCAAACTTTACGTAACACAAGATACCTTGTATTACTATTATTTGTTGACATTTATCGATTTGCAATTTTGACCCATCACATTGAAAAAGGACAATTATCCTCCTCCAGATGGAATTTAGAATATAAAGTCGCACATATGCCCCTTTGTGTTTTATTGAGGGTAAGGTTTATACTTCTCAATATTTTATTACAAATAATTAAGACTTTATTTTGTTAATATTTGAATATAAAAAATATTTATTAATTTAATATTATATTAGTATATAAAAATAAAAAAACTATATGTTATTTGGTGGTAGTGATTTATGCGGGTCAAATTTGAAACTCTCGAAGCACATTCTCTTTAAACAATTTTAATTATTTTTAAACTATATTCTCGAGGTTTCAATTTCTTCACAGGAATATCTTCATTGAGGGGTGAATTTGCGTGGATCAAATTCATCACCAATCATTCAACGCTCACTTGTCCATATAGGTCATAGCTTTTGCAATACTTAGGGACATAATCACATTTAATTTTTATTCATTGATTTATCACCTTTTATGAAATTTTCTTCCTCCCCAATATTAATTCTTTGTGGAAATTTTGTAGCAGATCCATCTTCATTTTAATTCTCGCATTTTCTGTTTAATCTAATTGCATGTTTGTAACTTGAACTAGTAGTTTGATACTAATCGTTGGGATGCTTTATCTAGTGGCAATTCTTGAACATTCATTAGTTCAATACCACTTAGTGTTAAACACTTTTAATATATTTTTATATAAAGTTGATACATTATTTATGATTGGTGTATGATGTTGTATGTAAAATTTTATAAATATTGTTGCGTTTTTTAAAAAAAAAAGAAAGAAAAAAAAAAGCGAGTAGGAAATGAAAACATAGGACGTGGATGCAAAGTGCTGAGCTATATACTTTTTTTAAAAAAAAATCCTAAAATTGAACAAAATGAAAGAAAAGGAATAAAGTTCTTTGTACGTGTAATTATGGTCATAGTTAACGTGACATAATATCTCTCTTGGACTTAAAAATCATTTTATCTTTTGTTGTTTTGTGCCTTTTTCTCTTCTCATTTATCCATTTAAAATATTATTTTAGTATAAAGTCTACAATTACTTAACTTTCCCCTTGCCCAAACTTATTTATTTATTTATTTATTATTAGAGTCATTTTTAACAATTCATTTATGTACATGACCCCCAATACATAATTTTGATATATATATATATATATACTAGTAAAATTATCCGCGCCTCGCGCAGAAATTTAATATCATGAAATTTATAAAATAATACTTAAAACCTATCATTCACTAAAGGGAAAAGGATCTGAAAAATACTCCAACTTTGGCCGAAATTGTTGTTACGATACCAAACTTTATGGAGGACCTTTTATCCCTCCCCCCCTGGGGCCGTCTTAACCACTAGGCCACTAAAGCCATCGCTTGGGGGCCCCATTTTAAAAAAAAAAATACTTATACATATTATTAAAAAATTATATTATTTTGAAAGAAAAAAACGTGTAAGAGGTTTTATAGTTTTTCTTGAAAAAATTGCTATTGTTGATATCTTTAGTTCATAAGTATATGTAAATTGTTTTAATTATCATAAAGAATTTATTCAGTTTTAATATGCCAACTAGAAAACATGATTCCGATTTTGAAAAAAGAGAAAAAACTTGAAGAATTAGATAAATCTTAAAAAAGAGCCCTTGATAGATTTTTAACAAATAATAAAATTTTTGAATAAAAAATATTGGAGGATGTTCTTCAAATGATCAAGTAACTCAATTTTATAATTGAGTTAGATGATAATAATATCCAAGAAGAAAATCTATTAATTTTATAATTGAGGATCTGTTCATAGTTCATATGGAATATGAACAATTAATTTATTGTGTAGTTATCTATGTCGTTGAGATTAAAAGAGGCTCTAGTCTAGTCATATTCCTCTATAGGTCATCCGCCATATTCTTGAACCCATGTCAAAAGTTTATTAATTCTTGTTTTCTTTTCCTGGTTCACTTCGCACATCAAGGTGCAGTAAAGTTTTTAAGGTCTTTATGTCCTTACAATGAAGAGATGGTAGTATAGATCTTTAAGGAATTATTTTATTGTACCTTCAATAGTTTCAGTAGAGAAAATTTGCATGAAACTCAATTAACGTGTGTTATTTAATTTGTACTAACCAATACGTATAACAATAACTTTGCAGAAACATACACAACAAAGTTTACAACATGTATTCAAAAGCAACAATTAATAACATAAGCATAAATTAATGATTGTAAAAAACCATACCAGGATCTGTAACAATAGAATGAAACAGAAAGGAAAAAATCGATCCCATTGAATGCAAAGTGTCCCCCTAAGGAAATTATTCCCCTCTAGTACCTGAGGTTTAAAGGAATAGATCCTCTTAGGATAGAACGATTCTATTCACTTGTGTATTGATACAAAAACAATAGTGTAGTGAGCCATTCAACATAAGCAAAGTACACGAATACTTAATTGTGCAGAAGAAGAAGTTCAGAAGTTTTGTTGTTTTAAAATGAGAGGAAATCTCTCTATTTATAGACAACAAATATTTATTGTGCCTTATCGGAAAGGTCATAACTCTTTGGAAAAGTTACAACCTTTCATAAAAGTCACAACTTTTCATAAAAGTCGCATCTTTTCATGACAGGGGAAGGCTAATTTTGGAAATAAATAAATTAAAAGGAACTCCTTGTTTGTGGTGGCGTCACGTAGGCGGGCCTAGGGTTCTCTTTTATATATGTATTTGTCACGCCTCAAACTCAAGGGGTGCAACTGGCACCTAATGCCAAAACTTGGGACTGAGTTGACCCTGCTTAGCCATTTCGTAATGGGAGAAGCCACACATAGTTAAGAAAACAAACAAGTATATCTCGGCTTAAAAATATACCCTTGGCCGGCAAGTCCCTTGTCAACAACCC